TTCACATAAATTCCGTGGGTTGTGGCTATGCATAGACGGAACTTTCGCGATAGACTGTTTGTTGGTAAATGTTCCATCCATTATCAGAGAAACTCTATTTAAATATTCATAACAGTTAAAATGAGATAGCTCTAATGGGACACGTTCAATAATTGAAGACCTTTATGTTATATGGCCAGTCTATAATGTTGATGTATTTTGCCATTTTACCTGGAATCATTGTTCTAAAAACATCATTACAGATTGGGGCGTATCTATAAATGCCTCAGGCGGAGGGAAGGGGGCATTGCCAAATGGTCCACCCCCTTAATACGCAACTGGTTACAGATTGGATTGAGATAGATTAACTATCATTACCAGTTGCCATTTTATTCATCAGGAAAGGATTCCTACGGTTCGAATCTCCCATGAGCTTCTGTTTCCCGAATCGCCTTGACCTAGAATAATTTTACTAGAAGGATTTCAGTCTGTCGTGAGAGCTCGTGACCTTTAAGAAAGTTGATAAAATAAATAATGTATAGAAAATTGGAATTGGACAGTAAAATGTGACAATCAAAGTGTCATAGCGCCAGATTTATCATTCAACACGATCTATCCAATACACGGTTTACATATCAATAATTCACTGTTTCTTCACTTATTTTCCACTTTCAAGATCTGGAGCAGTTGAAGGGTAAAGAAAGTTCATTACTCTTCTAGACACCTGATACCACATATCTTTATGAAATACTTACTCACTTATACTTGATATACTTTCTCTTGTGAAAGTTAGCTGCTACCAATGTTTCGCCAAAATGTTGTTTTGCATTTCGAGTTTCGTTTTGCAGATCGGATCGTTAGTACTTAGTTTATTATTTAAATACAGTGAATAGCGATGCTCAAGGTCTAGAGCAACTACAGGAAAGAAAGGGATGTAAACATTGAATTGAACCCTATATATCCCGGGCCGAGGGAGCCAGGACAACGGCATTGATCTATAATGTACTCTTTTTTTTCCAAATCGAGAAATCTTAGACAAAACACAGCTTTTAACAGACGCAGGATCGATTTATTGTCCCAATCGCAGGACATAATCACTCTTAACTCAATCACGGACAAGGGAAACCAGGTTTAAGAAATCTGAAGGTGCTATTCGTACCGGGTTGAAACCAAGGGCCATTTGGTTACCGGTGACTGGTTATAAATAAATGATAGTCTCCGTGTCCTCGTCAGCGACGCAGGGTCGGGAGAGCTGACATGAAAAACACTTCTAGAACATACAACTTCATTTCATCTCCTTGAAACCAACTGAAAATAATGAACCACGACCCTTCGAGTGCTGTCCGTGGATGTCAACAATTGTTATTATTTTCAGAATTAAACTTAATTATCTCCCTTCAGGTGTGAATCACATGTGTTTGAGAGAATATGTGAATAAATTAATTATAATCATTATATTGTCATGGTAACAGGTAATAAAATAAATATATACCATTATGTTATTATGTTCTATTAGGTTTTGACCAATAGCATCTTCTTCCATCTTCCCAGAATTACACCTTTTTGAAAATCTAACAAAATTTATCATAGTATCTAGGTGCGAAGCAGACCATGCTTACTCCTGATGAAACATCTGATGTAATTCTTCTTTGGAGGAGTCTACTACTATACATCTATTACTCTCTATCTTGTTTTTGCTTTGGACGAGATTTGTGGTTAACGAAATTGTTTTGCATGTAAGGATGTAAGGGAGGGGGGAGGGGGGGGCAGCCCTGATAGCAAGTTTTTCGGGCAAAAATCTTACAACTAGGTTAGAAATTCGGGCAATCTCAGATATTTCGCCACTAAATATAATATAAGCGCTTGTGTTGGTGATGCAAAATTCGATATTGGACATCTCAAACTAATTTCCAGAAGAAGCAAAGTGAAATGAATGAAACTGTACTTGTCTGTACCTGTTTGACCTACAGAAGCTGGAGCAGTGGAAATAGTGCCATCATTAAAGAAACATTCCCTTGTCCCTTCAGTCTATCTATTATTGTATAATTGAAACAATTTACATTCATTTACATCAGTCAGTATATTTAGCTTACATTTCTAGACACCTGATACCACTTTTCATTATAAACTACTTACTCACTTATGATTGATATACTTCCTCTTGTGAGATGTGAATTAGCCTCTTCCAATATGCTTTTGCCAGTAGGTTTTGAGATTTATTTATTCAAATTGGTGCATTGGTTTTTGAGACATTTTAGATGGTGACTCCAAAGTCTATCTATTTATCTCTACATCACCCACCTTCTGAGGACTACGGAGGAAATACGTCGAAACGTTGCATAAAACTTTATTTATTGAGATTGTTGTTCCATATATCAACCACCTCCGTTTCAAGAAACATGAGTAGACCAATTTCCAAAAGAGTATCAGTTACTATCTAATTGTAACCGAATTTATGATAATGAACTGCTGAAATGTCCAATAAACAACAGTGAGTTAATAAATACGGTAAAATAGAACGAAATTGGAAACTTGTGGAACATTCCTTCGGGGACAACTCTTATAGGTTTTTAATTAGAAGTCTATCATATTATATTTGATATTAGTATACGCGATAAAAGCTGGATAATTTATCACGGAAATTTGTCATTTGTGAGAGACACAATTCTATTTGTATGGTATACCACAGGCTGATGACTTTACTGGTGGACAGGAATATCCCCGCGGTTTTCGCTACCTTTGGCAATAATTGCTTGAGTCCGATTTGATCATCTATAATAAATTTTGATGGTACGGCTTATGGAAAAAGGCAACTCCATGCAGTGTGCAATTTTACCACAACAGCGGTATAACTCTTCACGCGGAGTATCGATTTATTGTTCCATCCAAACGGCTAGACGCTATTTCCAAGTCAGCACCTGACATCATTCAATGGCCCTTTCAACTTTTACTCGAGCCAATTCAACCAGACTTTAGATTAGTTTTGCCTTAGTAACAATGAAGTCTGTTAAAAACATAACGTCTTAATCGGATAAGTATAATCCACTTAATCTGATTAACACTATTTGTCCTTCAGTAATTGATTGTGATAGAATTTATAGATTGCTATTGTTTGGCAAGCCAGTCATGTTAGTGATCGGACTATGAATGACCATGGTTACAGGATTCAGGTAGGGTATATAAGATTGAAAATGTATAATCAAATTATTCAGCCAACAACACAAATTCATTTTTTGTTCCTTGCTTCAGTCAAGTCTCTAACCTAGCAACATGAGAGAAATCGTCCACATGCAAACTGGCCAATGTGGCAACCAGATCGGAGCTAAGGTAACAATTACAAATTTGTTTTGCTGTCGAACACGTCTAATATGTAGTCTATCCTTGGAAGAAGTTTTGTAAAGGTAAAAATACAAAATCAAAAATGTGATACCATGTTCTGCATATTAGAATTTTTTGAGAACAATTTTAGTATTTTGCAAAGTACCATTCATAATTGATATATTTCTATTCCAATTACAGTTCTGGGAAGTGATCTCTGATGAACATGGTATTGACCCCACTGGAACTTACCACGGTGATTCTGATCTTCAGTTGGAGAGAATCAACGTTTATTATAATGAAGCTACTGGTGGTAAATATGTACCTAGAGCTGTTCTTGTCGACTTGGAACCTGGTACCATGGATTCTGTAAGATCAGGACCCTTTGGCCAAATCTTCCGTCCTGATAACTTTGTCTTTGGACAATCTGGTGCCGGTAATAACTGGGCTAAAGGTCATTATACAGAAGGGGCTGAATTGGTAGATTCTGTTCTTGATGTAGTCCGAAAAGAAGCTGA